ACCACCATGCCACTTGCCGGCCCCCTCAACTTACTTTTGTGTATATATTTTTCAAAAATATTATCATTTTGGGGACCAGCAGATGGCGTGGTGGTTAAGGCACTGGACACTCCCATATAGCCGACCAAGGTTAGAGTCCTGAATCTGGTGGCTTGCTTTCTCACTTCCTCTCTCTCTCACTCTCACCCTCTATCTCTCTCTGGTCAAATTAAAAAATAAATGAATGAATAAAAAAATAAAATAAATAATTATTAAAAAAATCATTTTGCACATTCCTTATACATGAAAAGAGTCTGCTCTTTTACTTTTTCACAGTTGTTTCTCCTTGTCAATGATATTCTTTTTTTTATATATATAATTACTTATTTATTCATTTATTTATTTTAATTTGAACAGAGAGAAAGACTGAGAAAGCAAGCTGCCAGGTCCAGGACTCAAACCTTGATCAGCCATGTGGGAGTGTCCAGCACCTTAACCACCACACCACCTGCTGGTCCCTCTTTTTTTTTTTTCTTTGAAGAGATTTTCACTACAGGGCACGTGCACTCCCCAGACAGACAGAGAGACATAGAGACAGAAAGCGAGAAATCACCCCCGAGGGGGGATGGCCACGTCGCAATCCCTTCTCCTCCATTCTCCTCTCGGGATCTTGGGCACGCACGCACATGCGCCCGGCATGAGTTTAAGCCCCCGGGTCCGGGCCGCGAACCGCGGTCAACTACGTGGGAGTCCAGTGACATAGCCATTACGCTAACTGCTGGTTCCCTCAATGATATTCTTTTTAAAAATTATTTGTATCTAAATTAATTAATTTATTTTAATTTGACCAGAGAGAGAGAGAGACAGAATGAAAGTAAGAGAGAGGGAGAGTGAGAAAGTAAGCCACCAGGTCTAGGACTCACCCACGGTTGACCATGTGGCAGTCCAGCACCCTTAACCACCATGCTACCTGCTGGTCCCACCGAATAATATTCTTTAGCAACGTGGATTTAGGTTTTTTTTTTTTTTTTTTTTTTTTTTTTTGCTATAGGGCATGTGCACTCGCCAGACAGAGAGAGACAGAGAGACAGAAAGTGAGAAATCACCCCCCAGGGGGGATGGCCACGCCACAATCCTTTCTCCTCCATTCTCCTCTTCGGATCTTGGGCACGCACGCACACGTGCCTGGCTTGAGTTTTAAGCTACCGGGTCTGCGAACCATGGTCGACTACGTGGAAGTCCAGCGACATAGCCATTACACTAACTGCTGGTCCCCGGATTTAGGGTTTTAATTGCTAGTAGACATGTGTCAGACAGGGACAGCAGAGAGAAAAGAGGGAAGGGGACATTCCCAGTCGGGGCGTTCACAGCACAGTCCCTTTTCCATCCTTCGGGTCTTTGGTCACGCCCACACATGTGCCTGGTGTGTTTTCCAAGCTGCAGGGGCTGGAATTTGACCATAGTTGACCATGTAGGATCCAGCTTCCTATTGCACTGCTGAGTTGGGGTCGAGGGGTCCCTGGACATAGGTTTTTATTTTCAGTGCGTGTGAGTTTTTTTTTTTTTCTTTTTAATAGGGTGCATGCGCTCTCTAGAGACGGAGAGACAGAGAGAATGTGAGAGAAAGTGAGAAACCATCCCCTGGTGCGGATAGCAACACTATAATCCCTTCTCCATTCTTCTCTTGGGGTTTTGGGCACACACTCCCATGTGCCTGGTGTGATTTTCAAGCTACCAGCTCTGTGACTTACACCGTCGTCGGCCACGTGGGAGTCCAGCGCCTTAACTGTCACGCTATGTGCTGGTCCCAGTCTGTGTTTTTATTAACTAGCTTGAGTTGAAAAGTAATAGAGGCCCAGGGTGAAATGATGGGGCTCATAGCCCAGGGGTCCCTCAGAGGGGGAGGCGAGTGTCTTTCTCGCTGGTCTTTGCCTTTCTTTCCCCTCCGTAGATGAAGTCGCTGGTTTCATGGCTCCGCCGGAAGCCCAGGGCCCGTGAGACTGTCAGCCACCTGCCGCCACCTGATTTTCTAGGCTGTACCATGTCCCGTTGCTCGGGTGACCTGAGACTTAGCTACTTAGAAAGTTTCTGGGGCAGTGGGCAAACTGTGTGTGTGGGACCCCTCATTATTTTTGGTGTCGGTCCAGCCCCCAATTTCCAGACCAGCTCTGTTTCTAGGAAGTGAATTTAGAGGGCACCTGTGACTTTCTGTAATTCACATCCC